TGGAGTGATTAATTTTTTTTACTTGAAGGACTTTAGTTTTTGCTGGATGACTAAATGCAAAATAGGTTACTGCCAAGGTCAGGCAGTCTTGTTTTCTTGCAGTATACCTTTTTGAAGATATTTTCAAATAAAGTATAGTCCGCGAACGTTACCCCAACCACAACTGAAGTATCTGAATATTCAGATATAATAATTTAAAAATCTCTAGCTCAAGAAACTGAATTCGATGCAAAAAATGCTTCTTCCTAGTCCTCGCAGAATGGCAGAATGAAAGGATGACGCCTAAGTCTCGCAAGTAACCAAAAAATCTCGAGATCGGAAACCGTTCGGAGAAATAGAGTTCAACTTTATTTTCCCGAACGTTCGGAGAAATAGTCACTTCGTAACTGTAATAGTTGAGCGCCTGTTGCACCCTTTCCAGGAATTATTGAATTTGTTTCTGTCTGTGAATATCAAAACCGAAAAACATAGAATTAAAATATTGTTTGGCTCAGGACACCCAGGTTTAGACAGTCAATCAGGAGGTAGATCTATCTATTAGACCCACTTATAAACTTGATTATAATTTTAGAGAGCTTTGATAGCAGTGATAATGTTTTGTAATGTGGAAGTAAAAATGTAGACCAGAGGTATGGTAGCAGGTTGCACAGGCACATTACAATAACTCTCTCTCTTTCTCCTCTCAGGCGACCTCAGTGCAGGTGACCTCGGACTTGCTGCCCAACCGGACCGGGTGCAAGAGTTCAGGGAAAAGTTGGAATTGTCCATCTCCTATGCCACGGGACTTCAGTGCAAAAGGTATGAAGCATCTTGTGACTTGTGGTGAAATCAGGCACTCGTCAAGGTTTTTTTTACTCATACACCTGTCTCATGTTCACGTTTTTTATACTTCTTTTCTAGTAGTATTTTGCATGCTGAACACGAACATGGCCTTCATTTTTGCTGCAAATCAATATGCTAGTTAGCTATCGAGTTATTGATGTTTGAAAATAGTAATATTTGACTTGATTCTAACAACATGGGGATTCTCAGGGGGGCATGCCCCCGCATTTCACAATGATTTGATGTTTTGAAAATCAGGATTTCTATTTACTTGAAACAAATGATTTGCAAGGGTTTTAGTGGCCAATCGTGTGTTCTAAAGTAAAAATTATATGGCAGTTGAGCCCTCAAATCAATGAATCTGTGTGTGGGTGCATTATGTAAGTCGTCAAAATTATAATGAAATCAAATTAAGCAATCGGCATCTATTTGGCCAATGGGCAAATTTTATCTTAAGTAATTTTTTTTTTGCATCAACATATTTGTGTCACGACATGGTGGAATCAGGCGTTCGTCAATTTTAGGGCTTATAATGATGTTATTGGTATCACCTTACAGCCTGTCCATTTACCTTGCTTTCGATGAAAAAAATGTTCATTTGTCTTGGATACATGTTGAGATATTGGCGATTAAAGGAGGTGCGGTTGCGTGGTTTCAGAGGTAAAATTAGCGAGAAAATGGCCGCCAAAGTTTGATTGTTAAATTTCCATAGTTTGATATTCCGTGGGAACTGAAATCTTACATTTTCATGCCTTTAATCAACGTTTTTCTGTAAAATCCAATCAGAAATGCATTCTTAATTGGACAACACTGGTGTGAAGACAAAAAACAACAATTCAATAGAAATTTCCAAACTGGCAGAAAAATAGCAGTTTCTTCAATTTCATTATTTTGACGAGCGCCTGATTCCACCACGCTGCCTCACAAATAGTAGGCACTGTACATCGGGAGTTCTCCATGCCCTCTGGTCCTGTCTATATATATATTTTTTTTTTTACAGATTACTGAATAAAGTTTACAGACTTTTTAAGTAAGAAGTATGCTTTCTTTGACTTTGCCTCTTGTTTCTGCCTCATTTGTGCTGATTGGTGGGGACGGGTTATAATGTGAGAACTCATCTTTAGAAGGAGGCTTTGAGAGGGTGGAGCAGAAGTTTGATGAGTGGTAAAAACAAGGGAGAGAGAGAGATTGTTTTTTGGGGGCTGGAGGGGAAGGGAATGGTCTTTATGTGTAAGTGAGGTAACCTACCTTCCTGTACAGATGTCACTCCTGAAAAATGGCAAACCACCTGGAAAAGCAAAGTACTATTGACATATATCATGGATTGAATCATGCCTTGGTGGTTGGTAAGCTTTTTGAAAGAATGGTAAACAGCTGCCTCTAATGGTACCTTGAGAGCATCAACAGCTTGAACTCACACCAAGGTTTCATAAAAGGTAGAAAAACAACTTTTCAATTTAATTGCTTATATCCGGCAAACCGCTTCCAGCAGCTCGCAATCAGAAGCTCTGTACCGGTGAGACGCTCGCAGCAGCCCAGGAACTTTCCTTTACCATGACTTCAACGTCAAATTACTTTTCGGCAATTGTGGAAAACAAGTCTCTTTTACCAGGAGTTCATTCATTAGATAAAGAACTATCAAAATAGGTTCATTTATTTTGATTTAGTGACCTATTTAGTCATGTTTATATGTCACTTTTAGATTTCGTACCAAGAGAGAACCCCGGCATTATAGTTGGTTTACCGTCCTTGAAGATAATGAGTTAAGACATCCAGGATGGCTTTCAGAGGGCAAAACACACTGACTCCATCTTTCTAGACCCTTGACATGCGTACAGTAGAGTGTGGAGAAAAGGCCTACTCATGAAAAAGAGTGCATTATCAGGATACACGGAAGATTTTATAATTATAAACCTATGGATCTAGTTTTTGTATGCAGACCTAAACATTGAAGCTAAGGTGAACTATGCCGACTTGTCAAGAGAAGTACTCAATTTAGGCCTACAATGAAAATTGTCTGACAGGCAGAAAAAAATTGGTTTCTTGAATCTGTAAACTTTGATAAGTGCTTTATTTCTTGATGATGCCACATATATTTTAATCATAAATAAGCCTACTACTACTACTACCATGTGTCACGACATGGTGGAATCAGGCAATAGTCAATTTTTGGGCATTTGAAGTTACTGGTATCCTTTTAAAGCTTGTTCATTTGCCTTGCTTTCAATGGAAAAAAATACCCATCTTTCTAAATAGAAGTCAAGATATTTGCGATTGAAGAAGGTGGGGGTCACCTGGTTTTGGAGGTAAAATTAGTGAGAAAATAACCGCCAAAATTAAATCAGGTAACTTCAATGACTTGAGAGTCCTGAAAACTGAAAATTTACATATTTTGTGCCTTTAATCAATGTTTTTCAGTAAAATCCACTGGGACATGTGTTGTTATACGGACATAGAAGACGTTGAGCCAAAAACAAAAAATTTTATAAAAATTGTCAAACTGGCAGAAAAATGGGTATTTTTCTATTTAAGTATTTTGACGAGCGCCTGATTTCACCACAATGCCTCACCTATTTCAGAATGCATATCATGGCAGGGCGAATCCCGGCAGGAGCGGACGATGGTTTGAAAGAAAAGATGATGTCGACTTATCTAGACAATATCAAGTACGCTGCTGATCGCCTGCAGAAGGTAGGAAACTTACCAAAAAGATTGTCATGTGAAGAACATTTTTGTCTGTTCTGAAAATTGGAATTGTTGTCTAGGTTGATTGTGGTGCAATGTAATGCTGTTTGCTGGTCTGTATCTGGACTCTGTGTTTACTAATTGATATTATGTTTGCCTGATGCCATTCTGCTGTCCAATAGCAGAGCAATATATGGTATGCATTTGACAAAAGCAGAATAATGTATGGTATGCGTCTGACAAAGTCAAGTTTTCTGGTGGTGGGGTGGAGGGTTGTTTGTTACTCTAACCGTTCCCACAATCCTACTTCTGACAAAGGTAGTGCGATGTATCTAGTAGTTCATTTTCAAAATGGTAAAGCTACGTAAGTGACTAATCTTAATATTAAATGTCCAGTGGTTTTTGCATTTTTCTTAAAATTGATGGACCTCGGGATACATGGCAAACTTTACAAAAGGATAAAGTTCTCTTCCTGTCGGATCGAAACATTGAAACCAAGGTAAACAATGCCCACTCGTCAAGAGAAGTACTCGAGGAAGGCGTACCTCAAGGTTCCTGTCTGAGTTGAACTTTGTTCCTGATCTTCTTTAATGATGTAACGAACGTGCTGAAATCAGAAAAGACTCTTTATGCTGATGATCTTGCTCTCTGACAGACACATCACAGCACGATAGTAGGAGCAGGGAAATGAAATGAAGACCTCAAGAGGCTCCATAATTACTGTCAGAAATGGAAACTTAAAATAAACTGCACGAAAACAGTATACACCATCTTCACGAAGAGCCATAAAGCAGCCAAAGAAAATCTCCAACTAAAGATAGGAAATGAAAGTCTCCCCAAAGAAGAACATCCAACTTACCTTGGAGTTAAAAAGAAACTCGCAAGCAGTTCATGGGGATCAGACAAACAAACTCTGAGAGCTCTATACCTGGGTTATACCTGGGTTTGCAATAGCCTACTCACTATGTGCAGTACAACTACTTGCAACACCCTTGACAAGGTCCAAAACAATGCCCTTCGTTTTATAAATGGGGGCATGAGATGCACACCTACCGCCACGTGCGAAATGCAAATGTTGAACCCCTGGGAATCCGCAGAGATAGAGCAGTTTTGGAGCTACATGAAAAAACTAAAAGAATGTGCCCCAGCCACCCAAACAGGAAATTAGTAGAAACATGGAAACCAAAGAAACAAATTCAACAAAAGTCAATCATGCATCACATCCCAGAACTAATGGAGAGCCGCCATCTACCACAAAACAGAAAAGAAACCAAAAGAGTCAACCAAAACATCCCTCCCCACCTTTCTTTAAAAAAGCCAATCATTACAACATCTCTCAAAGACAAGAGCACAAAATCTTCAGACCCAGTGGCGCTGATGCTTGCATCACATCAAACAATCGACAGCTATTCAGATGACTGGATACACGTCTATACGGACGGCTCAGCATTCAAAGGCGCAACCAAAGCCGGATATGGAATGCTAATACAGTACCCAGATGGAAGTTCCAATGAGATCTCTGCAGCCTGTGGAGAGAAATGCAGCAACTACGATGCAGAAATGATGGCAATTGAAACAGCACTGTTCCATCTCCGCACAGTTTTTGACACTCATCCTGGAAAAGCACAGAGTATTGTGATTTTCACTGACTCACTATCAGTATTACAAGCCATAGAAAATGACCATCATCTAAACCAAGTTTTGACCCATATACTGTTTGGATCCCATCATCTGATAACATTCTGTGGCATAAACCTTGTAATGCAGTGGGTCCCCGGACACTCAGACATACCTGGAAATGACAGAGAAGACACACTTGCCAAACGGGGATCTAGACAGGAACAACCCAACACTCCAACTTCATACAACACTGCAAAACAAATCATCAAAACCAACAACAAACAAGCTTGGATGAACAGATTGGCCCTGGGAAAGACAAGCAGAGCAGTTTTCAAACATATGATCACAACAAAAAGGAATGACAATATCAACTGCCTTCAGAGAAAGAAACAGACCACGATCTTCCGCCTACGGACAGAACATATACAGCTCAACTTCCACCTGAACAGAATAAACCCGGAACTTCTCCCAATGTGTCCTTTATGTGACTATGCATATGAGACTGTGGAGACCTGTTCCACTGCACAGCCCTAAATGACATCAGAGCTACCCTTCTCCCTCCGAGACCAAACATAGACAACACACTCTATGGAACATTACAGCAACTGCAGCAGACCTGCACTTATCACTACATGGCATTGGACATAAGGGCGAGAGCCCAGCTGTTGCTGGATCGATAACAACAACAACAACAACAACAACAACCATTTAAAATCATGAAATTTGCTGTTATGTTCCTCCGCCTTTGGATGTCAGCATTGCTGCTTGATGGTTTTGTGTTAATGTATTTTATTTTTATATGGATTATGAAACCTTCCTCTAAATGAAAAAGCATCTCAATGCTTTTATGAGTTTGTTTTTTAAGGTAGGTGTGTTTACATCACTATCAGCACAATCTAGATCAGTTTTATGAATGACAGAAAAGACGTTAATACGAAAAGCATGTAAAATTTCAACATCTACATTCCCCTACTTGGAGGAATTGCATGTAACAGCTTGTATTAAAAAAAGTTAATTCCTTCTTTTTAAACAACAAACATCTCTTGTTCCCTCAAATAAAACATCAGTCAGAAGTAAAAGACCTAGGCTTCTGATCTGTAACAAAGAAAGATACAGAAGGTCATTTTGACCATCATCCATCACAATTCTTCCATCTTAACCGTCTTGTTATAAGTATTCATATGACCTTAGAGCATGCATTAGAATAACATTGAGTATGTATCTAGCTTAATATTATTATTGTTTATATTGCTATTCATTTGTTTTGCATGTGACTTTAAGCCTGCGTGTGTGTGCATGTTTGTAAGTGTGTGTGCTTGTTTGTAAGTGTGTGTGTGTGTGTGTAAGTGTGTATGTGTTTACGTGGTGAAACACCAAACCAATGTGCCAGGATCTGGACAATAAAGATGTTATCTTATCTTACAGATTATGTATCAGAAAAAGAGGAACCCCCCCCCGCGTGTTAAAAATAAATAAATCTAGATTTATGTTTTTCGTCTTTTGTTTAAATATTCTGTTTTTTGAGGAGGCACTGAATTCAAAGGTTATTCCATTATAACTTTAGTAGAATATGCTATTGTCAACGCGTTCATTTATCTGTGGTCCTCCCCTTTACCCTGTGGGTTTTTAAAAAGTTATTATTTCCTTTATTACAGCTTATATAATAATTTTATGTATTTATATTACCTATTCTTTTATTTTTCTTCAGGAAGGCATTCTGGCTTTGATAGAACCAGTCAACAATCGCATCTCTGTCCCTGGGTACTTTCTGTCAAATCCACACAAAGGTATATATATAATGTGCAGCTTTTTCACTTTTCTTTCACTTTTCCCCCTGCTCTTTCTGTGTCTGTCTCTCTCTCTCTCTCTGTCTGTCTGTCTCTCTCTGTCTCTGTCTCTCTCTCACTCTCTCCCTCTCCCTCTCCCTCTCCCTTTCTCTCTCTCTCTCTCTGTCTCTCTCTGTCTCTCTCTGTCTCTCTCTCTGTCTCTCTCTATGTCTCTCTCTGTCTCTCTCTCTGTCTCTCTCTCTGTCTCTGTCTCTGTCTCTTTTTCCCTCCCTCCCTCTCTCTCTCCATCTGACAAAGTTATATCCTGTTTTCTATTTTTGCTAAAATTTTGAATTAGACATCAAAGATTTTCATCTAACAGTCAGATTAAATGGTTTTCAGTGGGGGCTCAGTGTTATGTTTTCAGTTTTGTCAACTGCAAATGGTTATTCTGTTGGAAAATACAATTAAAATTTTCCAAGACTGTTATCCATTGTTGAGATAAAAAGGGATTTTCTAAGCCCTCCCAGCCCCATGCGCATATATTTTCAGCAGCGCTTGCACCTCCCAACGTTCCAGAGCGTATATTCTCAATTTCATGGGGTACCGAATTTGCGCATTTTTCGAAATTAGAGAACCTAATTAAACTTTAATTTCCATAATATTTGTTCATTTACCTTTAAACTTTGTTGTTATATGTTATTATCTAAACCTCATTACAGAGATACTACATCATTTTTCAGAATGCATGCCTCTTTTTCTGATTTACTGCTGTATTGGTTGGGACTAGGGTTAGGGAGTGCTCTAAAATGGCTGGGGCTGGAAGGGTTAAACAGGTGGATGTCTGGGACAGTGTCATTATGATGTGAAAAATGCTAAGGGGGTGGGGGGGGGATTGGTTGTTTGTACAGGTGATTGCCCTGGGCACATGGACTGTAGAGCAGGTTTGACTGTAGTAGCGTGGTAATCTTTTTAAACGTGACTGTTTACTTCCTGCTCAGCATTTTGATTTTTGTAATGCTTACTATTGTTATCAAATAGATGAAATGGGCTAGAGAAACTGCTGCTGTGTGGAAAGATAGAGGGAAAGAAGAGCAGAGGAAGAGAAAGAACGACATACACAGATGGCCTTCACAACTTTGCAACGAATAGCACAAAGAGAAAAACCGAGCTGATCAAGAAGACGGACAACAGGAAGGAACAGGGTGCCATCATCATCAATGTCTGCTTCAGATTTGATTCCTGAAAAAGAAGAAGAAGAAGAAGAAGAAGAAGAAGAAGAAGCAGAAGAAGAAGAAGAAGAAGAAGAAGAAGAAGAAGAAGAAGAAGAAGAATGTATTGTTATCGATCATTTGAATTTGACATTTCAACATCATATAATTTTTTTGATTAAATGCCTGTTAAAATGGTCATTCAGAAACTCTCAAATTGTGCTCCTGTCTTCATGCAGGTTTGGAGATTGTGAAACAAGTGAACCATCCGAACCTGAAACTGCAGTTTGTAAGTATAATGGAATGGTTGTCACCGGTCTCTGTTGTGAAACATTTAGGCGCTTCATTTGTCACATGCATCATCATCATTGCCTTTCTCTCCCTGGATCCGGGTATAGGCCACGAACAAACCCTTTTCACCTTTCCCTATCCTGGGCTAGCCGCTTGATGTTATTCCAGTTTGTCACATGCAGGAGACTCCAATTTTATTCCCTCATAGGGAGAGTTTGTATCAAGTATCTCGGTCTTTCTGCCAAGAAGTTGTATTCCTCTCAGACCGGATTGGCCCTTACATTTGAAATAAAGAAAAATGGTTGTTGTCCCTCATTTTTTCCTGTCTGCTATTTTCATTTCTTTGCTTTCTGAGTCTCTGTCTTGATCAGCCTGTCTGTGACAACCTATGTATATATCAAAGGTGCTGTTTCTCGGAATAAATCTTAAAATCTGGATTTTGCAGACATATTGTTACGAGATGAATGAGACAACATGAGACAACATGATCTGCAAATTTTGAGTCCCTACAGGCACATTTCCTTAAGATTTGAAAAGCTCTGGATTTATTCTCTGCCAGTTGTTTGTCTGTTTTGTTTTATCCGCCGCTTATACCCTTTTGGGTGTCGCGGGAAGAAAAAGACGTCTCTTTGTCGCCAGCCGGAGAGCTTTGGTCAGGGGGGTGTCGTGGGTGTTTAATGTTTCCCTGACTCCATCTATCCAGGTCTTTCTCGGTCGCCCTCTAACTTTGTTGCCATCAAATTTTTGGAGGTAGGCACGTTGTGCTGGATGGTGTGTTGGTAATCGTAAGAGATGTTCGAACAATTTGATTCTTTGGTGTTGGATGTAATGCATGACATCATTTGTGCCCACCTTTTCTCGGATTACAGAGTTTCTAATTTTGTCTCGCCTGGTCTTGTTTACTGCTTTTTTAAGGCTTCACATTTCACATGTTGTAATTCTTTGCTCTAATGTCTTTTTCGTTTGTCCATGTTTTGCATTGATAGGTGAGTGTTGGGATGAATATGGTGTTGATCATTTTGAGTTTTGTTGTCATGGGGATGTTAGGATGTTTCAGTAGTGGAGTAAGCTGATAACTAACATTATTGGCCTTTTGTACTCGTGTTTCTATTTCTCTGTTCAGTTGCCCATCCTCTGTAAGTATACTTCCGATGTACTTAAATTCTTGGACCTCTCTGAGACTGTTGTTGTTGATGTGTATCCTGAGTGGTTCTGGCTTTCTGCTTACTTTCATTGTCTCTGTTTTGTTGATGTTGATCTTCATGTCGTAGTTGTTACATTCTTCGTTTAATCTGGTTGTGTGTTAACACCCCTAAAATTGATACTTTAGAGAATTTGAAAGGACAGTACTCTCTGACCTTATGGTATTGCAGAATGAAGTTAGACAATTATATTCTATTTAATTGTAGATGGAAAGTTTGTGGAGTTTTCAAGGGTATGTTTTATCTTTAGCTTACTTATTGGGTCTGCTAGAATTCTCAAAAGGAGTCAGGGGGTTCTGGCAAAATATCAAACAAGTAATTCTTCCGCCTCTTGTTGTGATCTTTCTTTCAAGTATACTTTTATTCTAAGTCTTCATGAGGTTGAAGAATATACTTTCAGTCAATATGTTTCTTTACTTCTGTAATGAAATATATGTACTTTCTTTTTGACCTCGTAAATACAGATTTATGCATTGAAGTAGGGCCTATTGTGCAACATTGCAAGTTTAAGGTTCAATATCTATCCACAATCATCACTTTAGCAATTTCACAAGTGGCATAACATTGAATGATGGAATGGCTCCTTTAAAAAAAAATACAACTCTCTCCTAATTCATCTTGGTTCTTTTTCTCAATTTTCCTGCTGTTGCCACTTTTGGTAGACTTTTTTGTTTGGATAGATACTGAAGGAGGGGGTGCACTGACTAATAAATGGCTTTCCCTGGAGGGAAGAAATAAGGCAAAAAATCAAACGAACACATCTATTGTACATCTGTTAGTTGAAATTTATGTCTCATCAAATTTTATTGACTTCAGCTCTTTACATGCAGAAAGAAAAAAGCTATTATGACACATTATGTTATGTTGTGCAAGGTAATAATGTTTTCATCACTTTTTCATCAACAGGATATCTTCCATGTGCAGATAATGGATGGAAACTTGACCAAAAATATTGAGGCCTTTTTACCGTATATTGGTAGGCGAATTTATGTTTTCAGCTTAGTAACTGATTGTCACCTCTCAATGTGTGTTGTAGCTATGTATCATCATTTGCCTTTATGTCATCTGACTGTCATCTAAATAATTCTGTATTTTCTGAGACACACAAAGACACGCGTCAATTTTACATAGACACAAATTTTGTTGCATCTACAAAGTGTTCATACAATTGTTTGGAGTTGGGATTTAACCTCCTGTCACCACTATCATAAACATTATGACCTTATGCAGTTGCGAGCGCCATAATACTCTTACAAAAACAAACAATCATAAACATTAAAGGATTCCAAAGATGTGCTTTAGATGTACTTCAGACTGTGCATCAGTCAAATTTTAAGAAAAGTCTATTCTATTTTTAGACAAAATTGCTGTTGTTGTAGTTGTGGTTTGCTGTAACATGCCACTTAATGTTGGCAACAATGTCCAGAATAAGAAATTAAGGTTGGCGGATGCTCTTGTGTCAGTTACTTCTTCTTTCCTATCAAATATCTGTCATCCTCATCTCTCCTCCTTCTTTTTTGTGTTTGTTACTCTTTTGTAATGCCTGTAATCTTCAACACTTATATGACTTTATTGTGTTGCAAGTTCCGTAAGGGTGCCAGTGTCTATGGTGTTGTGGTTAGACACTTCACAGCTGCACGCAAGAGACCCCAGTTTAATTCCTGGTTGGGGAAATTTTTACCAAGTACCTCTGTCTTTCTGCAGGCTGGTCCTGACAGGCATGGTCGGAAACCGGCCTCCAAAATGATTTAAATTGTGTTGATTGGGGAGTTAAAACACCTACCTATAAAAAAAAAGACAAATAAACCCGCAAAACAATAAAACACATAACCCCCCCTAAAAAAAAACAGAAAAAAAAAACAAACCCCAACCCACCTACAAAACAACAAAAATAAGCAAACAAACAAACGAACAAGAATCCCCCCCAAAAAACTGATAAAAGAAAAGACGAATGATACAGCGATGAGATGACTTGTTGACTCCCCAGGTCACATTCAGATAGCTCAGGTACCAGACAGAGGTGAGCCTGACGAGACAGGGGAGATCAACTACCCGTATGTGTTCAGCGTCTTGGAGAGAGTGGGTTACGAAGGATACATTGGACTTGAGTACAAGCCTAAAGGTAATCGAGGATTTACCCTTCGACGTTTGATTGTTATAATGATGATGACAACAACAACAATAATATATTGATAATAATAATGATAATAATGATAATAATAATGTAGTAAGTACATTGGGATTTAATTAAATGTGTTTTTAGACCAGTTTTAGATGTGGTCTACTTTTCCGATCCAGAATTTTAGATGTGGTCAAAATAAGTGTTTCTCTTGTACTCTTAGATCGAAGATTGTCATAGTTGCCTGTCTTGGCTGTATGAAAACTTTGCTGGAAAGTGTGCACACACCAGTGTCTGTGGTGTAGAGGCTTGGCACTTAGCCATCTCATGCTGGAGCCCAGAGTTCGGTTCTTTAGTTAGGAGAATTTTTATATTGAATATCTCTGTCTTTCTACTGGGACGATGTATCCCTCCCAGCGGGGATTGGCCGTGGCACAGTGTCATTATAATGTATAAAAACGCAAGAGGGAAAATAGGAAGTTGTCATCTGTGCTGGTTATTTTCTTATATACAGGTGGCCACTAGAGCAGTTTTGACTGTATTTGAGAGATAAATTTGTGTTCAAGATGCTTAAATCACTATATGATCGTTTTCTTATTTTTTCGTATGAACAGGTAAAACAGAAGATGGACTCAAATGGTTGCGGAGTCTTGGATACTAGAAATCCGACGATTTGATGGCACAAGAAAATGTTTTTCTGCGATTTGCATAACCAGATGCAGAGCTTACTGCGATTGTACTAGACGGAGTTGCTTCTTGAAATGATCGTTGTTTTCTTACTGCTGCAATAATTGAATTGATTTAAAAATAGTATTTGAACATGATTATTGAGTGGCATCAAGGTGAAATCATGTGCTTGTCGAAATATAGAAATCGAAAAAACTGACATATTTCCCCCCACACAATTCAGAATAGATGGGTATTTTTTCATCAAAAGCAAGACTAATGAAAAGGCAGTAAGATGATACCAATAACTCCATATGCCCAAAAAATGATGGGCATTTGATCTTCCTTATTTTCTAAACTCTGACCTTGCTCAATGAGAAAGCTGGAGAGCGAAAAGAGCTTTATGAGATAACTGCTGAATTTGTGTGGGTTTTTCAATGATGTACGAATGATTCATTAAAATGAATGTGTTTCATGAATTCAATGACTGCTTTTCCTGGATGGTGCAGTTACTGCTTGGGAGTAATGTGTTATTTGCTTTTACTTTAAAAAAAACAATTTTTTAATCCTTTGTTGTCGTTAAGGGTCGAGGGAAAGTGCAGTTTTCTATGGTAGGACAGCTCCGCAGCTCTTTCAATTGGAATATTATTATTTCTCAGGGTTTCCTTGACACCCTCAATCCACATTTAGCGTGGCCTTCCTCTTCATAGCCTGAGTGCTTGGTGTTATAGGCTCTCGAGTAATGTCTTATGTAACAAAATTCAAAACCTGCCATAAAAACACTCCGACCACACCTGCAAATTTGTAAGACACGCTTCTTACGCCTTCCTTGATTCCATACGTAATGACGAAAGAAGTCAGCATCTGAAGGGAAGGAAGTAGTACTTAGGCAATCGACTTCCTCTACATCTACCGTCCAGGCAAAACTGTATCATGCATACTATTTTTAAAATCGCCTATCTTGATGCAAAAGGCCATATAGGCATATATTTTGCTGTTATTGTTGATGTGTTTTTGTGTAATTTCTTGAAAACTTTAGGGGTTTCTGCATTTCTTTATTCTTGTAATCTGATGCAAGTGGTTTAATGCAACAGTAGTGATTATGTGTGACAATGTGATGAAATATAATGAAAGGGATTTAATATAATAGAAGTCATTTCATGAGATGCAAGTTGTTTTATGTGATGCAAGTGATTTTTATACACAAGTGATTTTAAGGAACTTTGTCGGTTTATTTAGACTGGTTCCATAAAATTTCCATAAAATTTATGGATTAGTTTTTACTTACAATGTTGAACAATGCTTCAGTTCTAAGAGTGAGGAGTGCTCAGATTTATGAAATAAACTGTATCAAAAGACAGAACAAAGAATTGTGTGGTAGAAGGAGGAATGTTGATGGTGTGATGAAATTGTTTTGAATGGTGAAGAAAAGACTTTTATGGCAGTGCTACTCATGATGTGGTAAGGCCTACTTCTCAACTTTCCTTCTGTTGTGTCTGTCTGTCTGTCTGTCTGTCTGTCTGCCTGCCTGCCTGCCTGCCTGCCTGCCTGCCTGCCTGCCTGCCTGCCTGCCTGCCTGCCTGCCTGCCTGCCTGCCTGTCTGTCTGTCTGTCTGTCTGTCTGTCTGTCTGTCTGTCTGTCTGTCTGTCTGTCTGTCTGTCAGTCTGCCTGCCTGTCTGCCTGCCTGTCGGTGTTACAAAGGATTGTGTCAGAAGAAGAAGAAGAAGAAGAAAAAGAAGCAGAAGAAGAAGAAGATTCAAGAAGAAGAAGAAGATTCTAGAAGAAGAAGAAGATTCTAGAAAAAGAAAAAGAAGAAGAAGAAGAAGTAATAGTTTCCCTCTTAGTCCAGCTTTGCCCGCCCTGACAGGCAAGGTTTAATGATCTAAATTGTGTCGATGGGGAAGTAAAATATCAACAAACACACACAAAAACACCCACCAACAACAAAACAATACAGGAGGGGGGTCTCGTGGCCTAGAGGTTACGGTGTTGGCCTCTCATTCAAAGGTCCCGGGTTCGATTCCGGGTAGCGACCAAAAAACGTTCTTCTCTAAAATTGTCTCCTTTCACATCCTTTCCTGATCTCTAACAATGTTCTGTTGTCTGCTTTCATTTCCACTTTCTGCCCCCACCCCCTCACCTCCTTTGCCCCCTCCTCTGGGCTCCTGACTCTTTCTGCAGCCTTTCTACTGCTACTCCTAGGCTCCTCCTAACTGCTGTCTTTCTGCCACACCCCTGATCTTCTGGTAGGAAAGATCTACACCTAGCCTTCTCGGACAAGGGCGAAAAATCTCGGAGGGCCGGTGTGGAAGTTGCGCACGTTAAAGATCCCTTGGTGATCTAAAATCGATAAGAGTAGGCTTCGGCCGCCACCCGGGCAAAATTCAAAATTTCCTACCAACGAAAAAGTATTAGGTGTGTCCCGCGCGCTCATATGACCTTATGCAGTTGCGAGCGCCGTAAAACCCTACACTAAACAAACAAACAAACAAAACAAAACAATACAGAAGAAACAAATAAACAAATATATTTAAAAAATAAGAGAAAACAGATTCATCAATGCTGCATTGTAATTTATTCCTCATCTTCCTTCAGGCACGAAGCACACTGGTATATTACACACCTCAGCACAGTACAGGATGACACGGTACACATCTCAACCCTAGCGCTGTATCACTAGGACTAGGTGCATACCTCAGCACAATACGACAGGGTACATAGGCAGGATCAAGTACACACTTAGTAAAACTCGCCAGAATTTCCTTAGCAACGTAGACAACATTTTTTATGATATGATCTACCCCGAGACAGTAAAGGTTTCCCATGACATTGGTGTGTCCGTGAAATGTTGCTAATTTGTTGTTATTGTTGTTGTATTTTTTATTTCATCTCTTTTCTTGGGGGAAAGAAAAATTTTTTTAAGGGGGGGGGGGGGGGGGGGTTCATAAAAATGTATGCCACACAAGTGATTCATTTCTAAAACTGTTCCCAAACACCTTCGTGCTTAGCGTCTTTCTCTTTGTTGCGATGCATCTTTCGTCACTCTAAAAAAACAACAGCCCTGAACCCCCCTTCTCTCTCTCTCTCTTACAATCGACAAACATTCTACTCACCCGCGGTCCTCACGTAAATTCAGACAATCGAGAGGTTCTAAACTCTCACACACGGCGGGGGACACATACTCATTCTCTCCTCTTTTCCGCTTTGCTATGTGGGGCGAGGGTGCTTACCCCCATTTTTAGGATGTGAACCCCGGAAGAATTTCAAAAAAAAGGGGGGCAAACCCGCGGCGCCCAACCAAACCTAAAAAATTTCCCGGGGGGGGGGGACCCCTTCATGTTTGGTTCTAGGCTACGACTATTTTGCTGTGATGTAACAAAAAGTTGGCCCGGGGGGGGGGGGGGGGGATTGGTTCATCGTCTGACGAGAGGGAGAGAAAGTTAATAGATGGGTAGAATGAAAATTATTGTAGCCAGCTCAAAAAAGATTAGGACAATTTACATATTCCGGCAAGAATAGAGGTATCAGTTGGCGGCTTTATTGATAGTAGTAGTGGAGGTGGTGGTGGTCAAGGTGTCACGGAATGTACGTTGTTGTGACATAGATCAGAGTGTGAGCGAGTGTGTGCAATCTGTACCTTCACTTCTGTTAAAGCCATTGATCAGCTATGCTTCGACACCCTCCCGTACTGGCCAGGGCGCTCTACTCAGAAATAGTCTCCGAGCCAAATTTGAAGAAAAGTTGTGGAGTTTCAAACATCTCAGCATTTTGGTAACGTCAACAACTGTTCTTAGTTTGTTTCAAGTTCCTAGAGCTTATTCTACTTCTTGTTGGCTTTTATCATCTACATTTTTGATTCGTTACAGAAGCAGATCGTAAACTTAGTCATTATCATTTCGATGTTAAAAAAACATAATCGCTGAGGTTTTCTTCTTTCAAGTGGGTTGGGGGAAAAGGGGGAGGGGGTCTTCTCTTTTAATACTTTTACGCGATACAACACTCCAAACGTTGTTCCACAATATTTGCTTTTTTGGGTTGTTATTGTTGCCATTATTACAGAAATAATCTCCACATACCTTGGGAAATTGGTTCTTATAATAATAAATTAGTGTTACCATGTACGATACCAATGTAGAGTAACTTGGCTTTTCTTTGGATAGTTGTCCCCTAGTGTGTCGAGCAGAACCTTGACCTAGCCTTGCCCATCAAGAAATCAACAAACTTCTCCCATCCTTCACGCCCATGCCATCTATCCTTCAAACCATGCCATTCACGAAGAATTGAAAAGTAAGCACAAAGAGTACATAAGAAATACATTGAGGAAAATGCCAGTTAGAAGTCCGTGTGTGGGGAGTTGTGGAGTCTAGAGAGTTGGCCCGGGACCTCAGAAGAACTGAACAGCCTCGCACTCGATGTCAAAGTACTCTCTCTTGGATTTCTTAGATCCGCTGTCTCCGAAGTCGGCCAGGGTAAGGATGGAACCACCGTCGACTTTGTTCTTGAGCTCACTGACCTTGGGATGTTTGTTGTTGTAACATCTGTAGGAGACCTGTGCGAAGAAAAAGAGAGAGAATACATTCATCATTAATGTTTGGATAAAACGCTTGCTCGAGAGCGTGGCTAAAATTTTTGGTGAACGTGAGGGTTTTTTTTTGGGTTTTTTGTGGTAAGTCTTTTTCGGTGCCCGCAACTGCATAAGGTCATGTGATCGCTCGGGGCACATTAAGTATTTCCAGTTTGGAAGGAATTTGCTCGAGTGGTGGCCGAGGCCTACTCTTATCGAATTTATGACCACCAAGGGATCGTTAACGTGCTCAACTTGCACGCAAAACCTCTGAGATTTTTTCGCCTTTATCCAAGAAACCTAGGTGTTAGATCTTTCCTACTCTAAGATCAGGGCTGTGGCTGAATGACAGCAGGAAGAAGGAGCCAGTTAGTAGCAGTAGAAAGGCTGCAGAAAGAGACCGGAACCCAAGGGAGGGGGCAAAAGGGGAGTGGGGAGGGGACAGGGCAGAAAGTGAAGACGAAAGCAGACGACAGAAAATGGTTAGAGAGCAGGAAGGGAGGTGAAAATAATAAAAAAAATTTTTAGAGAAGAACATGTTCTGTTGCTGTCAGGTTCCAACTCGTGACCGATTGAATGAAAGGCAAACACTGTGCCCCCAGACCACGAGAACCCCCTCACCTGAGTTTGGTTGTTGATGACTGACATTTTTGTTGTTGTCGAACGAGAGTTTTGTTGTTGTGGAAGGTTATTATAGTTTGTTCGTTGCGAATGTGTGTATAGCCTGATTGTGGTGAACATGAGCAGTATAGTTGTTGGTGAACGTGAGAATAGTTATATAATGGGTGACCTTATTTAGGCCACATATGGCCTAAATAAGCTAAACCCCCCTCCCTTACCTTATTTGGGCCACAGGTGGCCTAAATAAGCTAAACCCCCCTCCCTTACCTTATTTAGGCCACACCTGTGGCCTAAATAAGCTAAACCCCCCTCCCTTACCTTATTTAGGCCACATATGTAGTCAAAATAACCAAACCAATGTAAAGCATTGTTTTCTTTACAAGTTACATTATTATTTCTTTAAAACTCTTCACATCCATTTTCCTTCACAGCCGTATCGTACATGACATGTGATGTAGAATCAATTTAAGGTCCTTGGAAAGGTGACCACAAAATAACAAAATTATATTAGGGTGACCTTATTTAGGCCACACTGTGGCCTAAATAAGCTAAACCCCCCCTCCCTTACCTTATTTAGGCCACACTGAGGCCCAAATAAGCTAAACCCCCCTCCCTTATCTTATTTAGGCCACATCATATGGTAGGTTTCTTGAACTAACCATGGATTCGGAAGGTCGAGATTCTAATTCTACTGATCTTTTTATTTAGTGCGGTGGATTATTTCAAAATAGAGGATGATACTAAATGATAAGTGGACCAAGGGTAAGAGTTGTGTGTCTGTGTGTGTGAGTATGTGTTTGTTTTGTGTGTGGTTGTGGTGAAAGAGAGAGATCTAGAGAGAGAGAGTAAATGCAATAGTGTGTTTGTATGTGTGTAGGTGTGTAATGTGTGAATGTTATTGTGTACATGAGTGTCTATCTCAGTTGTACGGTCCAAATGTACATTATTTTGTTGAGAATTTTACATAGAACTCAACTACAAAGCACCTTTATACAAAGTCACAGAAATATTCTTTTTGTGCTTATTGAGGTGCAGTACATGGTGATTTTACCTGCAAGGATTTAATTGGACAAAATGGGCAATATCTTTATAATGCTAATACTAATGGTCATATTTAGACAAATCCTATATCATTCTCTTTTTTTCTTAACAGCTCATGGTTATTAAAGAGTAAGCAAACTAGATCAAGGTAGTAATTTCGGATTCCTAATATTATGGGCATTCTTTAAAATTGTTAACTTTTTAGCGCTTTTCTCAACGTAAAACGGATTGGGTTAAAAAACAACAACAACAATGACCTTATCTTTCTTTTTCAAGGTATTGTGCATACATCTGTGTGAAACTATTATATTCTATGCTTTCAAGTACATGAAAAAAGCTAATAAAGTCAAGTAAAATGTTCTTCAGAGACATAGATCTAGTAGTAGGCCCACTGGAACATTTTATAAACCGTGAAAAGATGACCAGAAAATAACAAAATTATCTTATGATCTTCACTTGCACTTGCATTTTTTGGGACAAATTATAGTCTACCTCATTATCTTTTTTTCCCCACATTTTTCTTCACTATTCATGACAACTGGCATGTTTTTCAGTTATAATCAAGGAAGTGGATAGGCGGACCACGGGGTCTATCTAGCCCCAAAAGGATAGGTGGACCCCGGGGTTTACCTAACAAAATGCTGTTTTAGGATGTGAACCCCGGAGTCAGCGGAGTGAAATAAGTAGATCTAGGTTTAACTAAGGATCGGTGGACCCCGGGTCAACGTAGTGAAATAAGTACACGTAGATCTAGGTTTAATTTTAAAGATTGGTGGACCCTAGAGTCAACGTAGTGAAATAGGTAGGTTTAAGGTGGACCCCAGGGTCTACCTAACGAAATACTAGTTAGGTTTTAGAATAGGTGGACCATGCAGTCACCGTAGTAAAATAAGTAGGTTTAATCACGGAATCCCGGGGGTCCACCAATCCTTAATTAAACCTTATTCTTCTACGGCTATGGTGTCTCCGGGGTCCACCAATCCTTTTAAAATTAAACCTACTTATTTCACTACGATGACCCCGGGGTCCAACGATCTTTAAAGAAACCTAGAGAATCTACTTATTTCACTACGGTGACCCCGGGGTCCACCTGTCCTAAAACCTAGTATTTTGCTAGATAGACCCCGAGCCCCGGGGGCCACCTTAAACCTGCTTATTTATCACTACGTTGACCCCGGGGTCCACCAATCCTTACTTAAACCAAACCTTATTTCACTACGGTGACTTCGGGGTTCACACCCTAAAACCTAGTATTTCGCTATGCAGACCCCGGAGTCCACCTATCCTCTACAGGACTATACTATTATCAATTTGCAATTTTCATTGATTAGCATATTTAAAAAAAAAATTGAATCAGAGACTCACTGTCTAAAAAGTCCACTGCTAATGCTATTCTTATCAAAGAAAAGGCACAATTTGACTTTATGACATGTAAAAAAAAAAAGAGTTTTAAAAATATCCAGAAAATAAAATAAAATGATTATATAGATCTAGATCTAGATCTAAACGTATTTTATTATGTATATATATATACTTAAAAGTAAAAGACTGAGCAGAGGCTTACAATGCAAATTCTGTGCTCTACAAGTAGATTAGTAGAGAAAGTCTTAAGTTTGCGCAAAACAGATTTTAGAAAAAAAAGTTGGATCTAATTATTCTAATAATAGTAAAAGTCATTGTTCTGGTGAGATTTGTTATTATTAACTCTAGAAATACAGATAGTTGTTGAATCTAAAATTAACTAGAACTGTACAATTCGTTTTATTTCAATTCCAAAGCCCAAAGGCATAGCAATGAGTTAGATCTAGATCTAGCAGTTGTAGGCTCTCTGGCTGCTTCTAGAATAGGCCTGCTACTACTGATTCTAGACAGGGAATCTAGATCTAGCTATCACCTGCACTATTAAAGTCAAATATATGGTAAAATAAAAACAAAACTGTGAATCCCTTTATCAGTCAGTACATCCCAATTGCCATAGTCGCACGTATTAATAGTTGAATAATTATACCGAAGCAACACGTTATCACAGTGTTCAGGGGAGAGTGGGGTGCCCGGGTCGCTGACCAGTCGATTCGGTGGTTTGGCTTTTGTAGATCTATGCATTCATTTTGTTGTTGTTGCGGAAAGCCCTATTACTAGATCTATTAGTGTTGTGAAAACTTCAACCTCTACAGCTAAGGCGTCAAAAGATGTTGGAAAATAATAATACATCCTGAAGTTTCATAACTTATACAGAATAACACAGCCAGTAGTTTTTATTTCATCGAGTTTTAAAAATGGCATTGTAACTTGTTAGTTTTCAGAAGCAAATTTTAATAGTTCCAGTTCTACCGAATCGATTTTCACGCAAATTCAACCATTTTGATGACCTTTCTTTTCCTTTTAAAAAGATGTAGGCCTGTCGGATGTGGCAGTGCGATTAACACTAAGTTGTTTAGACCCATCAAAACACGAGGCTTCGTGGCCGATCACAAAGGTCTACGGGGCTTATCGAGGCCGATTCGCCCTGCCGCGTGCACGTTCACTAAACTGCCTACTAGATAGAATCTACTACCAAAGATTCTCTACACGATCTTTGCTACTACTACTACTACTACTAGATCTACATGTACTACTACGAGACTGTACGAGGGATGTACTACTACGAGACAGTACGAGAGAGTGTCACCCAGCCAAAGATAGTGTAACTTTGACTCAGCCACGTTGTGTACACACTTTTTATACTCCAAATTTGACCCGGAAGTCCATTCCAAGGATTTGACCTTTTCACTTGACCAAAGTGTGCCAAAATGGTAGCCTAGATTTTGCCCCTCCATGAAGGAAAAATCTGGCCCTCATTCAAACCTTTGGGGTTGAGCAAAATTTTGCGTATCATGCTTTGTTCTTACAATATCATTATGATATATATATATATATATATATATATATATATATATATATATATATATATATATATATATATATATGTATGTATAAGTTGTACACTGAGACAAAACTGTACTAAATGAGAAGGGTGCACCATTATGAAAGTGGAACGAACTCAGTTGCCTGAAAAGGGTGTCCCCCGGTAGTTTGAGCATGTGTGGCCTAAATAAGCTAAACCCCCCTCCCTTACCTTATTTAGGCCATACTGAGGCCCAAATAAGCTAAACCCCCCTCCCTTACCTTATTTAGGCCATATGTGGCCTAAATAAGCACTCCCTTATATAATATGTATAGTATGGGGTTTTACGGCGCTCATAAATGCATAAGGTCATATGAGCGCGCAGAGAATAGTTTGCCCATGCTGAGCGTCAATACAATAAAAAAGCAACCAACATTTAGACCAGTAACAGTGCCATTATTTCATTTTTGCTAATCCTGAAAATGAGACTGCTCGTTTTTTTCCATAGAGGGTTTCCTTTGAGTTCCCAGCCTCGAGATCTACTCTGAAAGTCCTCGCCAGCATATGTGGTGTAGCGGTTAGGCACTTCACTGTCGCGTGCAGGAGACCAGATTGCAATTCCCAGGTGAGGAGAAACATTAAATATTTCATCGAGTATCTCGGTCTTTTTTATGGTTGTTGAATGATGCATCTGATGTGAATGTGCATTTTGTCAGCTTTACTTCTCTTTTCGTATTGAATTTTAATGAGAGTAATATACAAATGTAATATAATTTATATTTTCTATGGATACCTGCATTTGTTTTTACGGTCTTGTACAGCCAAGAAACAGTTCTTTCTGGGATAATAAAGTATAATTTTATCTTATCTTATCTCATCTTATCTTATCTTATCTCAGCCCGGGTTGTTCCTGGCAGACAGAGTCGGGATTCCGCCGTGGGATTATGATCTAAATTGTGTGTATGGGGGCGTAAAAACCCCTATATTAAAACACACTCATAGCCTTGAAGCTTACCTGGACCTTATCGACCCTCCTGGACTCGCAGTTGACTCGGCAGTTGTAGACGGCGTCCTCAGAGAAGCAGGTTTGTCTCTTGCCTCTGGGGCGGATTTTGGTGGCTCCATCGGGTTCGCACCCTGTTTGAGGTGGGGGGGGGAGTAGGAGGAAAAAAAGGGGGGGAGTCACATGTTGAGCAGGAGGACAGGGAGAAGGAGGTAGAGGGTGGGAAGGACAGGGATACAGGAGGTGGATGAGGAAGTGGAGGAGAAGAAGAATGATGATGATGATGATGATAATGATGATGATGATGATGATGATGATGATGATGATGAT